TTTCTGTATCAGAGATAAGCATAAACTGGAAAAGTACTACAGACGTGTGACGCTACCACTGCCAATCTCAAATCTCAAATTACGACATTGAAGGAGACACATCAGTCTCAAATATCAAAGCTGACATCAAATGTCACTGTGTCTCCTTCTACCCCCGCTCCTCTAGATGTTACACCAGCCTCCAGGACATCTGTGTCAACAACGACACTCAGACCAGAGGAGGAGAAAAGTAGGATTTTGATAGCTCCATTGTGGTCAGGTACCCCACATCAGTTCCGTCAACTCAACATTCACAGTAACTCCCTGAGTGTCTATCAGTACCACACCATGAAGGAGGTCAGATGTATTGCATATACAACAAAGACAAGGAAACTTCTCATAGGGTTAGGCAACCCTGATAAGATAGTGTCATCTACCCTGGATACACGTCACGTGACGGTATTAAGAGAACGTGTAGGGACATACGGCATGGCAGTGGATGAAGATCGGGACATCGTATTTATATCCACCTATCAACCACGACACTCAATCAGCCGCATGTCTACACAGGGGAAAGACTTCACTGCCATCATTGACTTATCAAAGTACGGTAGTTCTCCAAAGCAAATAGCTCTTGACACAAAGAGAAGGAGGATATATGGGTGTAACAGCGGGAAACTGTTCACTGTGACATATGATGGTCAAGGTCTGACAACATTAGCCACAGGAAGCCAAGTGTATTCTGTAACCCTGGATCAGACAGGAGGTGTGTTGTATTATAGTGTACAGAAGAAACTGATGAAGATGACTGTGTCCAATAATGTGAGTACAGAGGTGACCACACTGAACGCGGTCCCCTGGAACATGAGACTGTATAGAGGCACCATCTACTACAGTAGCCAAGGTTCTCCTATTGTAGGTGCAGTTGATGTGACATATAACACTGTGGCATATACTCTCCAGTCAGTCAGTGTGAAGGGATCAAGTACCAACGGTATATGTTTGATTCCCTAAATGTATCAATCGCATCGTGTTTCCTCTCTATATTCCGATCTCATCCAACCTGGGAAACAGATTTTAAGATTACATATTTCATACAGCATGTAGCCTCTGTTGCCATGTTAATGTGCTGTAGGTTTCATCAATAAATATCTTGTTACAGTTCAATGGCTACTATCTCTGCTTCCAACCTACAAAAAACAATGCTTCATTATCCATTATATCCGCTAATCTTTGTGTGTCTTGAATCAGGGTCGGAAAATAGAATGTTTCGTTTCTAATAGGCTTTTAGTTTGGAATGGAGATAGTGTTACTTTCAGTATAGCGGTATTTCACCAGTGGATTCAACAGTTAGTTATCATCTGATGGAATATCAAACCTGTGGGCAATAGGATTAAACGTACAGCAGTAAACCACTACCGGTGAGGAACATTATAAACAGTCAACACATAGAACACTATGTGTGTGTACTTGTACGTGTGTGTGCGCATGCGTCTGTATATGTGTATATGTCATATTAAAAGCACTGTATGTACATATCCTTCAGCAGTCTGTTGTTTGTGATGTTTTTAGCAGCAATGCTCAACTGGTTGATTCAGACATTACATGAAGTATTTTCATTTACTTCTCGCTGTACCCGTGAAGATCGGGATTAGAATTGGTCTTCAGCAATCCACGTTTGTCGTACGAGACAACTAACGGGATCAGGTGATCAGACATGCTGACTTGGTTGATACATGAAAGCGTATCCCGATTATGTAGATCGATGCTCATGATGTTGATCACTGGATTGTCTTTTCCAGAGTCGATTGTTTGCAGACCGCCGCCGACATATATCTCTAATATTGTGCATATGGCGATAAGCAAAAACATAATAGAACAAGCCATAATTATAACGGTGACTTGTGAATAATCGATTCCGGGCCAGACAAACCTGTGATAGATATCACGAGAAATGATTAAAGCCGTCAAGGGTGTCCATGCCATGCATTCAGCCATGTCACTGAGCCTTTCCACTGGATCCACAGTTAGTTCTCGACGCAAATAGCAGCTTTACAATTGCTGGTTGTCGTTAGCAGTCCTCACTCACTCGCTCACTTGTCCCATGAACCTTACAAACGGGACTGTCTTCCTGCATTAAGTAGGGGTGAAACGGTATACCGAGGTAGTTTGCCTTCTATTCGGCATACCGTAATGCAGTCCAAACATTCGGTATTTTCGGTTTTCGTACCTTTATTTTATTGTGATCTGCATTGTGATCCTATCGCATTTACCTAACCGAAACGGACTGAACCGAAGTACCGCAATCAGTACCGTGCCGTGGTAAGAGCGTACCGTGCCGTGGTAAGAGCGTACCGTTTCACCCCTAGCATTAAGGCAACGGTTCAGAGCTCCACATTACAACAACACTACAACAGCGATGTGGGGACATTTACTTGGGGCCACATTCTATACCCATATTATTGCAGCAGATCGATGTAGTAATCTTGTCATTTATCAAATACAGACATATTGTTTGAGTAATATAGGAAATAAGTTATCGATTGAATAGACATAAACTTCAGATCATCAGTTTCAAAAGGTCTAAGCCCAACAACCTCCCTAGACTTCGGTAACATGCAGGTTACACCCAACAACCTCCCTAGACTTCGGTAACATACAGGTTACACCCAACAACCTCCCTTGACTTCGGTAACATACAGGTTACACCCATCAACCTCCCTAGACTTCCGTAATATACAGGTTACACCCAACAACCTCCCTAGACATCCGTAACATACAGGTTACACCCAACAACCTCCCTTGACTTCCGTAACATACAGGTTACCCCCAACAACCTCCCTTGACTTCCGTAACATACAGGTTACACCCAACAATCTCCCTTGACTTCCGTAACATACAAGTCACACCCAACAACCTCCCTAGACTTCCGTAACATACAGGTTACACCCAACAACCTCCCAAGACTTCAGTAACATGCAAGTCACAACTAACAACCTCACTGGATATTTAGGAAAATGCATGTCACATCGACACAACCTCACTATAAATATGTAACAGTTAGAGAACACCCAAACAACATCAGGACAACTACCTGAAGTTGGACTGACTCACACAAATGAAGTGGTTCAGTGACATGACTGGTTTTGGCAGGGCTGCCAGTTTGCACGAAGTTATGTCCCCTGTACTCACAGGCATGCCACCGTCACCAGGTGGTCACTGTTACAGCAGATATGAGTGTCACGTACGTGTACCCTTCAGTGATATATCTTAACTCTGATTCAGCTACAACAGAGTGTAAAACTGACGTCACTTGATAAAAGGGACAACGCTAGACACCCTGCACCACAATGAGGTAGGTCGATATTGTGCTACATGCTCATCCACAGAGACATAATTTTACACGTACTGCACTAACGAACCCATAGGGATAGATAAGAGGCAACTAAATGTATCTGGAGATCAGGCTGGCTGACTTGGTTGACGGATGTCTTCGTATCCTAGTAGCGTGGATGAATGCTCAGTAGCTAAATTACATTGTCCAGACTCGATAATTAACAGACAGCCGTTATCCAGGTGGGGTATTGGTTAGGACAAAGTCAGGGTACAAACCAACAAACCTCACTAGTGAGTGTTGAGGTAGTGAGGTATGAGCGCCATCTGACGTGTCTGTAAACAGTTGGCCTATGAGTTCTAAAATGCCCATGATGTCTCCAGGTGTAACGCGACCCAGTTACGCTGGACTTTGTATTCCTCATGTCAAGGTGTTCTCTGATAAGAGCATGAAAACAACACTGAAGTACGTTTACAGTTAGTAATGGGGATTGAAGGTAGGGGTCAAGAAGTGTGCACTTATATCACGAGAAAGCTACGTGTGCGTGTGTACCTTGCACGTTTGTATGCGCGCGACCGCCTCCATGGTGTAGTGTTTTAGAGCCTCCGCCTGGAGCGAAATAGTCTCAATTACGAAGTTAAACCCCATTTCACCTCACCTCACTTGCTCGGGACCACAATTTATACCCACAATAGGACAGCTCTTCAATGTAGTCGGGGCGGTGGGGTAGAATAGTGGTTAAAGCGTTCGCTCGTCACGCCGAAGACCCGGGTTCATTCCCCATATGGTTACAATGTGTGAAGCTCATTTCTGGTGTCCTCCGCTGTGATATTGCTGGAATACTGCTAAACACTAAACTCACTCACTCACTCACTGAATGTAGTAATCTTCTCAGTTATCATGGTATACATGCCCATCGTCATATGAGCTAAATATTGTCATGTACTACGTCAAGAGGGCAGCTCTTCAATGTAGTAATCTTGTCAGTTATCAAATATAGACATATTGTTAGAGAAATATGGGAAATAAGATATATTGACGAAGTTGATTCATGTGTTGAAAAGTGCATTTATTGTTGTGTGTTTCAATCTCTGGAATACTTTGGGGCAATGACATATATATGTTGTTGTCTTTAAAGACATATATGATTCTTCGTATATATGTGATTTGAGAATTGTCTTTCTATGAAATTTTGTCAAACTACGTGTTTTCCTTTTACTTTGATATTGCAAAAACAAGGGATATCCCAAGAATTAAAGCAGTAAAATCACGCATTTTGCAACTAAAACATACTGCGGCGGTGTTAGCACTCGAGATTATCTGAAACAAGCAGCTCTAGTTTAGCGTAGGGAGGCCTTGAGATCCTGAAGCTGAGATCCTGAGTCCAGATCCACACAACGTTCGTAGCGATACGACATCGTAAGCCAATGATAAGCTATACAGTTACGACAGGTCGTACCGATACAAACGTTTTACGGATCAGGACCCTGATCCTAGTTTGAAGCTGATGCACAGACACGATGTTATAACTATGGAATACTGTAAGGGATATCATCGTGCTACATATATGACTGTAAGAGTTTGGGTTGATGTCAATCAAATTTAACAGGTGAAACATGTGACGCCAAGAAGACTTGAACCAAATTTACAAGAATTACCGATTTGAGTCGACAAGCTTGTCTTCCAGTTCTGCCCCAAAAGTGATTCTGTACCAGATATCGAGAGGACCAAGGGCGCCAAGTTTCTCCCCATTTGCTCTCAAGTTGGAGACCTTTCTTCGAATGGCGAAAATAGAATATGAGGTCAGTGAGGTTAATCAAAGATATCTTTTGACAGTTATTGATAATGCCAATCTTTAGGATTACGTAATAGAAAATATCTCACATGAATATCCGATTATACAATATAGTAAGTTATCTCTGATTGCTGGAATTGTGAACAGTTGGAATTCTGAGAAGAAGAATAATGATATGGACTCGGATTTGACTAAAAAGGATAGTCGGTTGCTCTTATTCAGTAGTCTCCAACACAAGCATATATATAATTCTAAGGCTGTTCTAATCTGGGTCGCCTTGTAACCTGAGTACTTTTATAGCCTTACGTAGATACAGGACTACGCGAGCGCAATTCTCGCATAACGTTCACTTTTCAAAGCGTATGAAAAAACGACAGAGAGGTCATACAGGTATAATGATAAGGGTGCATAACTCTGTTATGCGTAACACTAGGTCAATGTAACTCAGATCACATGGAGAGAATTTGTTGTGGATACGGACGCTATATTTTCGTTATTTTGTGTTTACGATGAACCAAACTATTCCAATTCAAAGTTCCTCAATATGAGAGGATACGCTTTGGTAGTTTCACAATTTATAAAAAAAGATGACAACGTATTACATGTGAAAGCACGTCATAACGATTTGGATGGCCTTCTCCGATATATAAGTTAGTTCTTAGATTCCCATATTCTCCTGTTTGTGTAGATGTATTTTGACTAATTTTGCATCGTTATTACCAGAGTACTAGCCATATCTTCAAATGTAATGAAATTGCAGAAAATAATACAACATTTTAGTTGACGTCATTGCTTGTTTTGTGCATTTGCGACGTCGGAAAAAGACGACATTGGTATGCTGATTAGTATATATCTCACCTAATTTCCATTAATTGTGTGAAAGGTCTCGGCTTTCTTGTCAGAATTAACACTCTTTAGACAAAACATAAAATGACTGGTTTTTCCATTTAAATAGTGTCCTGAATATATCAACAATTAGACAGTTTGACTGTGTATCTTATCATGAGCAACACGCGCACCTGTTTGGCATCAATTTAACGTACATGTAAATGAAAAATAACATTTCACAACACCCGAATATTTTGTTTAGGATAAGAATTTTCTTTATTTATGATTATGTAGCTATTTCTCTTCATAAGTATGCAATGGAAGATGCAAAAAAGATAGCTTTTTATATATGGATCTAGTACGTACTATATATTAGAATATGGATGTAAGATTTGTCTAAATTAAGACATGACATGGTTTATATATTTTTAAACAATTTTCGTATAAATATAGTTAGAGTTTGATATCCTGTCATCACAATATTTTTAAATCGAATATGAATTGATTATATTATCGAAAACAATGATAGTGAATCATAAAACGTTTCCGACAAACGCGCACCTGGCCAATCAATATACATCATTGTTTTCTCTATAAAACGACACAAAAATGTGCAAAGAACAAGACAATTCCTTTAAATGTGTGTGCATATACATTTCATAACATACATAAATCATTTTCATTAAATATTATCAGTTTTACTTATAAGGTTTAATCAAATCGCCGTTCATTAACCTGTTCATGTGAAACTGCAATATTAGTTCAAATGCATTGAATATTGTACATCATAGGAACTAAAGTAATTGCAGTTATGGCTACGTTTGATCTTCTAACACTTGTGTAAAGGTTTAGAATATAATGTACTGCACTAAATGTGTCAATTTCTTATGTAAATATTATTCAAACAATCAAAAACTTTCAAAGAATAAAACACCGTAAACCCTATATGCACGTATGATATGATATTGGACAAGGCTAAATGTAGATACTGAGGTCAGTTTCATGAAAAAGTATCTGAACTATCCGCAAAATATACATCATAATACTGACAGTGTAATCGGAAGGATTGGGCGATTGTGTTTACTCTTGTTCAACCGACCTTCACCTCAAAGAAATTGCCTAATATGTACAACAATGTTGACGTATGACATCACTACCGATGACCTATTTCTTACAAAATGGCGGCTTTGCTGACAAGGATACACAGGATTTTGCGAGGACCCTTCCATTGATTCAGTGATCGTTTGTACATAAATATGACATGTAAGTAATCAGAATGATTCTGACTATCTGTGTATTGTTATATGTTTTTATCGTTTTCACTGTAAGTAAGAGAAGAAGCCAGAAATGCTGATAATTACACTTGTCGTTCTGCGTGATTTTGCGTCAGTCATGGCGTCACGCTGCACGGAAACTTTGACAATTTCTTATGAATTATCAAATCATTGCATTGTATCTATTTATAATTTCCTATTTCTTACTACGATACTCTTTCCATGCATATTCCAAAGGTATTGAGCCATTGCAAGCAATGAATAGACGGATGAATGTTGGAAAATTTCAGAAAATGCTACGCAGTGTAAAATCGGAATTTGTCTTTGTTTACATTTCGAACCAGCGCAGTCTTTCGAGCACAGCGTTCGTTTTCACACCCAATATGTTTCCTCTCATTTTATCTGGACAGTTGGTATTGATGACAAAGACCAGTTGCAATTTGATTCTAAAATGTATGGGGAATTCAGTGATGCATTTTTCGAAGCTGAATATGAAATATACGTGATGTAATAGGCGTCTCAATACAAGCCTTCGCGAAACGTGATTTTGTAAACACTATCCAATATGGCGGAAAGCGCTCTACGGCGTTCGTGTAAGTGTATTTTCGAAAACATCCCAACCGATTCTAGATTCATCGGCAACGTTTCAGAATTATCATTAGCGATTTCATGTAAAAGTGATATCAGTGTTCATTAATATGTTATTTTTGAAATTCAATACTCCCAGTAATTATCCGATTTTCACATTTCAAAACATACAGCAAATAACGCTGTGAATCGCGATTTCGTACTGTGTCAAAATGGCGACATTTTCGATGAAGCCTATTTTGAAAGTTCATTTTCAGCACTTGAACTTTGTCTAAAAATAATAGTGGATGGTATCAAGAAACAGGAAATTTCCGCAGAATTCGAAACTGTGAAGTGTATTTACTATTTGTGTGCGTGGATATTTTGATTTTTATTGGACTTGAAATTGAGGTGAGAAGATCCGTGCCGTGTGATTATTTCAGAAACTTCCTATATATGTACTACTGTACGCTCGGTATTCTCATCACTTTCTTTACACACACACACACACACACACACACACACACACACACACACACACACACACACACAACCACAACAACCACACAGAGACACAGACACACACGCACGCACGCACGCACGCACGCACGCGCACGCACACGCACACACACACACACACACACACATACATACATACATACATACATACATACATACATACATACATACATACATACATACATACATACATACATACATACATACAAAGTAACCCCGACATAAAGCTGAGTTAGAAGGTAAACAACACACAAAGATAATACAAAGAACCCATCCTACAGCTATATAGCGACGATCTGTAAATAATCACGCCTGCACCAGACAGTCCAGTGATCAACATCATGAACATTCATGAACGCAGTTGGGATACGATGAGATGTGTCAACTAAGTCAGCGAGCCTGACCACTCGATCCCGTTAGTCGCCTCAGGGTTGCCGAAGATCAGCTCTGTATTCGCAACCAGGTCATCACTTCTTCACTATGTATACCACCTTATTCTTGTATACAAACCCTATTTATCCATATTTCTCACATCATACCATGTGCATATTTATCACATCATACCATGTGCATATTCATCACATCATAACATGTCCCTATTTATCATATCATAACATGTCCATATTTATCACGTCATACCATGTGCATATTTATCACATCATCACATGTCCATATTTATCACATCATAACATGTCCCTATTTATCACATCATCACATGTGCATATTTATCGCATCATAACATGTCCATATTTTTCACATCATCACATGTGTATATTTATCACATCATAACATGTGCATTTTTATCACATCATACCATGTGCATATTTTTCACATCATAACATGTCCATATTTATCACATCATAACATGTCCCTATTTATCATATCATAACATGTCCATATTTATCACATCATCACATGTGCATATTTATCACATCATGACATGTCCCTATTAATCATATCATAACATGTCCCTATTTATCACATCAAACCACGTGCATATTTATCCCATCATCACATGTGCATATTTATCACATCATAACATGTCCCTATTTTTCCAAACATCACATGTGCATATTTATCACATCATAACATGTGCAGATTTATCTCATCATAACATTTCCATATTTATCTCATCATAACATTTCCATATTTATCACATCATAACATGTCCATACTTATGCATATCATAACATGTCCATATTTATCATATCATAACATGTGCATATTTATCACATCATAACATGTCCATATATATCATATCATAACATGTCCATATTTATCATATCATAACATGTCCATATTTATCATATCATAAGATGTGCATATTTATCACATCATAACATGTCCCTATTTATCACATCATCACATGTGCATATTTATCGCATCATAACATGTCAACATTTTTCACATCATCACATGTCTATATTTATCCCATCATCACATGTGCATATTTATCACATCATAACATGTGCAGATTTATCTCATCATAACATTTCCATATTTATCTCATCATAACATTTCCATATTTATCACATCATAACATGTCCATACTTATGCATATCATAACATGTCCATATTTATCATATCATAACATGTGCATATTTATCACATCATAACATGTCCATATATATCATATCATAACATGTCCATATTTATCATATCATAACATGTCCATATTTATCATATCATAAGATGTGCATATTTATCACATCATAACATGTCCCTATTTATCACATCATCACATGTGCATATTTATCGCATCATAACATGTCGATATTTTTCACATCATCACATGTCTATATTTATCATATCATAACATGTGCAGACTTATCTCATCATAACATGTCCATATTTATCATATCATAAGATGTGCATATTTATCACATCATAACATGTCCCTATTTATCACATCATCACCTGTGCATATTTATCGCATCATAACATGTCAATATTTTTCACATCATCACATGTCTATATTTATCACATCATAACATGTGCAGATTTATCTCATCATAACATTTCCATATTTATCACATCATAACATGTCCATACTTATCATATCATAACATGTCCATATTTATCATTTCATAACATGTCCATATTCATCACATCATAATATGTCCCTATTTATCACATCATAACATGACCATATTAATCATATCATAACATGTCCATATTTATCACATCATAACATGTCCTTATGTATCTCATCATAACATGTCCATATTTATCACACCATAACATGTCCATATTTATCACATCATAACATGTGCATATTTATCATATCATAACATGTCCCTATTTATCATATCATAGCATATCCATATATATCATATCATAACATGTCCGTATTTATCACATCATAACATGTCCATATACATCATATCATAACATGTGCATATTTATCATATCATAACATGTCCATATTTATCACATGATTGCATGTGCATATTTATCATATCATAACATGTCCATATTTATCACATCATAACATGTCCATATGTATCTTATCATAACATCTCCATACTTATCATATCATAACATGTCCATATTTATCATATCATAACATGTCCATCTTTATCATTTCATAACATGTCCATATTCATCACATCATAATATGTCCTTATTTATCACATCATAACATGTGCATATTTATCATATCATAACATGTCCATTTTTATTACATGATAACATGACCATATTTATCATATCATAACATGTCCATATTTATCACATCATAACATGTCCATATGTATCTCATCATAACATGTCCATATATATCATATCATAACATGTGCATATTTATCATATCATAACATGTCCATATTTATCACATGATTGCATGTGCATATTTATCATATCATAACATGTCCATATTTATCACATCATAACATGTCCATATGTATCTTATCATAACATCTCCATACTTATCATATCATAACATGTCCATATTTATCATATCATAACATGTCCATATTTATCATTTCATAACATGTCCATATTCATCACATCATAATATGTCCTTATTTATCACATCATAACATGTGCATATTTATCATATCATAACATGTCCATTTTTATTACATGATAACATGACCATATTTATCATATCATAACATGTCCATATTTATCACATCATAACATGTCCATATGTATCTCATCATAACATGTCCATATTTATCACACCATAACATGTCCATATTTATCACATCATAACATGTGCATATTTATCATATCATAACATGTCCGTATTTATCATATCATAGCATATCCATATATATCATATCATAACATGTCCATATTTATCACATCATAACATGTCCATATATATCATATCATAACATGTGCATATTTATCATATCATAACATGTCCCTATTTATCACATGATTACATGTGCATATTTATCATATCATAACATGTCCATATTTATCACATCATAACATGTCCATATGTATCTTATCATAACATCTCCATATTTATCACACCATAACATGTCCATATTTATCACATCATAACAGGTGCGTATTTATCATATCATAACATGTCCATATTTATCATATCATAGCATATCCATATATATCATATCATAACATGTCCATATTTATCACATCATAACATGTCCATATTTATCACATCATAACATGTGCATATTTATCATATCATAACATGTCCATATTTATCACATCATAACATGTCCATATTTATCACATCATAACATGTCCATATTTATCACATCATAACATGTCCATATTTATCATATCATAACATGTCCATATTTATCACATCATAAGATGTCCATATTTATCACATCATAACATGTCCATATTTAATGTATCATAAGATGTGCATATTTATCATATCATAACATGTCCATATTTATCACATCATAACATGTCCATATTTATCACATCACAACATGTCCATATTTATCACATCATAACATGACCATTATATCCCTGCTGATGATGCCGTCTTACAGCTGTAATATTGTTTAGTCTCATCACTTTTAAATCAGAGCATACAACTGGGAGGAAGTACCAAGATATATGTGGTTAATCATTACATATCATTCTTTGTAGAATGATTTTAGTGTCAAGCGCTCGTCCAAAGGCAAGATTCCATGGATGCAATACGAAGGAGAGGCCGTGGCTGACTCTCAGTTCTGTGTGGAGTATCTGAACCGGAAGTTGAACATTGACCTTAACAGTCACCTGACCGAGGAACAACGGGCTGTTGCGCATGCCTTTCGAAAGATGGCGGAGGAAAACCTATTCTGGTTTGTTTCGAGGGATTACAATTTTCGAGGACGCAATGTAGTGTTGTCCATCTGCTGTCTTGCGTTGTAATGACTTCGTGTCGTATTGTCCATCTGCTGTCTTGTGTTGTAATGACTTCGTGTCGTATTGTCCCTGTGTCATATTGTCCTCAGTATCCTATTGTACCTGTGTCGTACAGTCCCTGTTTGTATTGTCCCTCTGCCATTTTGTTCCTGTGAAGTATTTTCCCTGTGTCATATTGTCTATGTGCCATATTGTCCCTGTTTTATATTGCCACTGTGTAATATTGTCCCTGTACCATATTGTCATTATGTCGTATTTTCCCTGAGTCAAAATACCCCTCTGTCATATTGTCCTTGTGTCGTATTGTCCCTGTGTTGTATTGTCCCTGTGCCGTATTGTCCTTGTGTCGTATTGTCCTTGTGCCATATTGTCCTTGTGTCGTAGTGTCCCTCTGTCATGTTGTCCTTGTGCCATATTGTCCCTGTGTCGTATATGGTCCTGTGTAGTATTGTCCCTCCGTCATATTGTGCCTCTGTCATATTGTTCTTGTGTCATATTGTCCCTCTGGCATATTGTCCTTGTGCCATATTGTCCCTGTGTCGCATATGGCCCTGTGTCGTATTGGCCCTGTGTCGTATTGTCCCTCCGTCATATTGTGCCTCTGTCATATTGTCCTTGTGTCATATTGTCCATCTGGCATATTCACCTTCTGTCATATTGTCCTTGTGCCATATTGTCCCTCTGTCATATTGTCCTTGTGCCATATTGTCCCTGTGTCGTATTGTCCCTCTGTCATATTGTCCTTGTGTCGAATTGTCCCTCCATTTCTGGCTTGTCAAAGCGTACAGCATGTGTGTCAATCTTGTTGCCATCTGCTCTCCGAATTGTTTTAGTGTCAGGCAACGGTAGGGTTCGCAAATGCTTATGCGCGGAGTACGGTTCATATGAGTTATGTAAGGTGAAATATCCTCACTTTATTTAGCAGATGAAAAAGGGCATAGGTCATTACTACGCTGCATATATCGTTATAATATACACGTTATGTGATTACCCATGACGTGCCAAAGACAGTTAATGTTTTGACCCCGGCAATGTTTTGACCACTACGCATCTTTGCAGGTGTATGGGCCTGTCCCGGGCTGAGAACCTGGACTACGTGAAGAAACACATCAAGTTGAACAAACTGGTAATCTGGATCGGAACAAGAATTTACCTGAGTAATACGATAGCTCACGGAATCGGCCGACACACCCATGAGGAAGTGTTGCACATTATGGAGGAAGATTTGAGATCATTATCAGTCTACCTTGGTAAGAGATGTCGTCAATTGTGATGGGTTTAAATAGGGTTTAATGTGACGTTCAAGTTTATTGCCCTTATATAGCAATGTGCAATTACGTGCTTGAACCAGTCTGGACTGGTTCTATTGTGCTGCCCTCTGCGCAATAACGTTTGAGTTTACTATGGATACCGGGCATGCATGCACTCCCAGGTGACCAGTTCTTGTTTTATCTCCTTAATACCAGGCAGGGCAACAACAAGTGTCATTTTTTACTTGTTTTGGCAACAGGGAATCGGGCCAACGAGTGAGTGAGTATGGTCTTACGCCGTTTTCAGCAATAGTCCAGCAATATCACGGCGGGGAAACGGGAAACGGGCTGTGCACACTGTTCCTATTTGGGGACTCGAACCCGAGTCTTCAGTGTGATAGCGTACGCTTTAACCACTAAGCTACCACACCGGTCTCGAACCAACGAACTTCCGCCCTCAGGGAAGACAATCCATGTACTACAAAACAGGACTCAAATTTCATTGTTTATTGAGCATCAGTGGTCAAACATTTTAACTCTTTTCATCTGAACAACTTTTCTAATATTGACAGGGACAAAGAAATTCTATTTCGGCGATCAACCATGTGAGACAGATGCTGCTTTGTTTGGACTGTTGTGTCAGTTTTGCTGGCAGTGTCCAGGAAGCAAAGGGGAACAACTCGTGAACGGTAAATACGTTGCAACAAAGACCTCTGTGGTGCTGTCTGGTCGTTCAGCCCTTAGAGTCCATTATTCATTTGGTCGTAGGTTGACAACCCATGAGAACGTCAACGTTTGTTTGTTTGTTTGTTTGTTTGCACTAAGCAGTATACCAGCTATAAGGCGGCGGTCTGTAAATAATCGAGTCTGGACCAGACAATCATGTGATCAGCATCATGGGCATCGATCTACGTATTTGGGACACGATGACATACGTGTCGAACAAGTCAACGAGTCCGATCCCGTTAGCCGCCTCTTACGACAAGCATGGGTTGCTGAAGATCAATTCTAATCCGGATCTTCACGGGTGTCTTGACCGTTAGGATTAGAAGTTATTTCTCTGTTTTCCGTTTCCTTTTGTTTCGTTATATTCCCTATGTACACATAATTCTCTGCGAAGTCGGTTAAAAAAAAGTTTAGGGGGTTACAATGTGAATGAGTGAGTCACCACTCGCCCCTTTCCGTAACCTCCAAGAAGACTCGTCCACGTCTCGATGCTTGTTATGTGCGAAAATACGACAAACCAATCAGAACGCGCGTAATGGTGCGGTGCTTTGAAAAAAATAATCCCGACTACTTAAATCGTTTATGGCATTATATTATTGTATAAAAAATCATGAAAAATATACACCGTCATTTTGAAACTACTAAGAACGTAGCTAACAGAACTGTGCTGTCTAATGTGAAGTTTTTATATGAATCATGAGATTGACAGTGAGAGATTCAAATGCACGAACAAAAACAGCAATACAATGTTTGAGTACTTCGGTGATATTAAATACCACTGGAATCAAACTGGAATAGAGTTATCGTTCCTGTTTGAAGTAGATCTGATGTTCCTACGCCAATATGAAATCCTTCTAGAGGGCCACGAGTCGCTATTCGGCTTGTCCCGGAATAACACGAGTTAGGGGAATCCCTTATATTAACACACGTTCGATAATGACATGCTAATAAATGTTTAATACCACCGATTTTAATGGTGTGATTCCCAAAAAATGCTGTAAGAGTTTAATTGATTCAATTTAATTATTATTTGTCGATCATTACCCGGCCATTCTTCATTGCTTTGATAACTTCAGTGTCAGGATGAATCTCAGGCTATCTCTCCTTTCATTCCTTAGAGAGGCCATTAGTGACTTTGTACATTCCCGTCAAACCACGGAACAGATAAACTAACGAGTACGAGCGTCGAGTCATTTCATACAATTGAACAGCTCAGGGTTTATCATAAAACGTTGTCCGGAACGAAACGAGTGGTTCCCATTGTTCTATGGCTATAACTTTCAAAAAAAGACTGGGAGGCATTTCTCACAACCATACGGTATTAAAGGGTATGTTAAAGTATATACCTACCAGTATGATCACTTTGTCAAACTGGGCCTTCAACCAGTGATCACAATCAAATAAATAGAATAAAAGTAAATGATGCTGACTAAAAGCGTTTCCATTTCAGTCTTCCAAAGATAAATATTTACGGGACATCGGCGCCCGAGAGGATCTGGGCTGGAATTGGTCCTTTAGCAACACAGGCTTGTCGTAAAAGGCGATTAATGGGATCGTGTGGTCAGACTCGCTGACTTGGTTGAAACAAGTCATCGTATCCCAACTACGTAGATCGATGCTCATGATCTCAATCACTGGCTTGTCTTGTGACTCGAAAATTAACAGACCGCCGTCATATAACTGGAATATCGCCGAGTGCGTCATTAACTGATAAACAAACAAAGCGTAATATTGGTACACCATTGTCATCCTTCGAGTATAACTAATAGTGCCCCGTATTCTCCAGAATGACCAAAACATGTACGCATTTAAGTGGTTCATTTCTAGGGAGAAGTATCGATCTGGCATATCCTTTAGAAGGTTTGTTTGTCTTTGACAAATGTTAAGTATAACATTACGACAGAAACATGTATTTTATGTTACTTATATTGAGAAAAAGGCAAGGGTCTAAACTACTATGCTGCCGTTCGGTTTTCTTTCAGACAAGTTCACAAATCTGGTGGAGTATTGCGAGCGAATGAAGGCGACATTTTGGCCGGACTGGGAGGACTGCATCACGGCGGACGGAACTAAAACTGCAACAAAACAACATGAGAACTTAATAAATGGAACCCAAAGACACTCTAAAAACATATACATACGCCGCCAGATAACCTGCCGGACAATGATAATTTTACTGCATTTGCATAATAAATATCGTAGCCAGACTACCAACCTAACCCAAGGCAATCAGTAGTAAATGTTTCTACTGAACAGACAATATCAAATGTTTTCCATCAAAGGTTAATCGTCCAGTATACCAGCAACACCACACACCTTCCACGGCAAAATTGACACCGGCGATATGGCTTTCTTGTCCCGGTTCAAAATAGTCCGGCCGGCCATAGCTCCAATCTCCCGTTCGTGTTGTTGCTAGTGGTTCTTGATGATCGAGGCTCTTATCGTGTCGGTATATGCGAGGATCTGTTCCCATCTGTACGCGGCACGGTAACAAGCCTGTCATTCTTGAAGTACCCAACAAGCCTTGTTCCTTACTGTCACGGAGTTTCTGACGTTGTCTTGTAGTGAGGTCATTCGATATGCCATACTGTCATTCTTGAAGTACCCAACAAGCCTTGTTCCTTACTGTCACGGAGTTTCTGACGTTGTCTTGTAGTGAGGTCATTCGATATGCCATACTGTCATTCTTGAAGTACCCAACAAGCCTTGTTCCTTACTGTCACGGAGTTTCTGACGTTGTCTTGTAGTGAGGTCATTCGATATGCCATACTGTCATTCTTGAAGTACCCAACAAGCCTTGTTCCTTACTGTCACGGAGTTTCTGACGTTGTCTTGTAGTGAGGTCATTCGATATGCCATACTGTCATTCTTGAAGTACCCAACAAGCCTTGTTCCTTACTGTCACGGAGTTTCTGACGTTGTCTTGTAGTGAGGTCATTCGATATGCCATACTGTCATTCTTGAAGTACCCAACAAGCCTTGTTCCTTACTGTCACGGAGTTTCTGACGTTGTCTTGTAGTGAGGTCATTCGATATGCCATACTGTCATTCTTGAAGTGCCCAACAAGCCTTGTTCCTTACTGTCACGGAGTTTCTGACGTTGTCTTGTAGTGAGGTCATTCGATATGCCATACTGTCATTCTTGAAGTACCCAACAAGCCTTTGTTCCTTACTGTCACGGAGTTTCTGACGTTGTCTTGTAGTGAGGTCATTCGATATGCCATACTGTCATTCTTGAAGTACCCAACAAGCCTTGTTCCTTACTGTCACGGAGTTTCTGACGTTGTCTTGTAGTGAGGTCATTCGATATGCCATACTGTCATTCTTGAAGTACCCAACAAGCCTTGTTCCTTACTGTCACGGAGTTTCTGACGTTGTCTTGTAGTGAGGTCATTCGATATGCCATACTGTCATTCTTGAAGTACCCAACAAGCCTTGTTCCTTACTGTCACGGAGTTTCTGACGTTGTCTTGTAGTGAGGTCATTCGATATGCCATACTGTCATTCTTGAAATTACCCAACAAGCCTTGTTCCTTACTGTCACGGAGTTTCTGACGTTGTCTTGTAGTGAGGTCATTCGATATGCCATACTGTCATTCTTGAAGTACCCAACAAGCCTTGTTCCTTACTGTCACGGAGTTTCTGACGTTGTCTTGTAGTGAGGTCATTCGATATGCCATACTGCCATTCTTGAAGTACCCAACAAGCCTTGTTCCTTACTGTCACGGAGTTTCTGACGTTGTCATGTAGTGAGGTCATTCGATATGCCATACCCTCCTTCCTTCATCACTGGGCAAGCTTTCAGTGCTTCAATCTGATTCTCTGAACTTGGCAGTAAGGGGTCTCGGTCTACTAGCATCCGAGCTTTCAGTACCAAGGCGATGAGCACGAATAATATCACTGGGTGACCATGTCTTAACATGTACATGATCATTTAGGATGGAGAAAAAGGTATCCTGGCACTGGATATTTCTTTCACCAGGTTCCTCGGTTACGCCATAGAGTATAACATTGTCTCTCGTACTTAAAGCCTCTAGTTTATCAAACACGTCGTCGAACCTTGTCACCTGGTCCTGCACCAGATCAATCTTATCAGTGAGCGAGTCAGTATCAGCGTTCACCACTTCGATACTCTGGTGCATGTTTGTCAATTCGGATTTCAACTCTGCCGTTTGTGATTCCAGGTTATCATATATGTTATGTAACCTCTTTGCTTTAATAGTTACGTCATTCAGATTGATACTTTGTTTAAAGTTTTTAAATTGGGTAATTAATTGAATCCTTAAGTGATAATGGTACTGGGTTCGAGTCCACGTCATTTGAACATATAATTCTGTGGGTAACAACTTCATCTGGCACCAGTCCACCACCAAGCAACACACATCACGAAACCCACGTGCAGTGTGATAGGCAACGTGCAGCTGATCAAATTCCAATTTGATGACGTCAACAACAAGTCCTTTCAGTGAATATGTATTAGTTAGATCATTTCAAACCGAGATCTGTGCTCGTATACACCACAGTTTTGCCGGAGTTCATTGACGGCTGTAAAGAGCATGGTGTCTGTCTTCATGGTGTGTGTCCTGTGCGTCGTGTCAGTTTCAACCACGTGGAGTTCGTGCATCACATGCATTACAGTTCCTCCGACAAGCAGCGGACGAGAAGCCGCAGGTAAAGCTCGCTTAGCCAGGTTATGAAACTTGGACAGACTGTACCCAGGTGTTAGTATCTGCGTGGCTTTGGTACCGACATGGCTTGGAAACATTGATGAAAAATACGAGAATTTGACAGCAGGGGGTATACAATAAAGCTTTGGTGTCCGCGGAAATTTCCATCATTGTTTTGCTACATCGGAGTGAGTGAGTGTGTGAGTCTGGACCAGACAATCCAGTGATCAACAGCATGAGCATCTATCTGCGCAATTGGGAACCGATGACATGTGTCAACCGAGCCTAACCACCTGATCCTGGCTACATCGGAGGAACTGGCAGTTTCAGAACATAACAACTGAATAATTTGCTATTAAACCCGGTGATTATTAGAGCATTGTGTTATCATCAAGTGCAATTTGTTAAGGAAACACCACCTAATAGAGGGAGCGAGTGTTGTGTCGTGGTTGTTTCAGCTAATAAGCCATAAACGTGTAAGAACATGGCACAGATTTAATCTCACTTACGATGATGATGAAATTATACGGCTGCGTCAGTGTTTAAACTGAATATCTAGAAATGTAAAATGAGCTATTGAAACTTAAAAGTTTCAAAGCTGATACCATTTATGTGACAATTGTTATTCTTGTATTTCGATCATTTACGAAACGGAATCCAACTCGCTCCAAACCAGTTGTTGGTCGGATATGTTTTTTGCCGAGTTGCTATGTAATGTAAACTAAAGACCTTGGGCGTACTTGAAAACGGATCTGACTCATGGAAATCACAAAATTTTAAACAAGTTCAGTAGCTAATATGAAATTCTTTTTTTTTCACACGGTGCATTTGAAGCAACAAAGTATATTTGCTTGCAGGCAACCAGTCGTAAAAGTGATCATCTCTTTTTAGTTAAAATTGTAAAATATCATCTATATTTATCTGTGGCTAACATTGCATCCTGTGTTTTTTCATATCAAGTCCTGCTGGCTCTGAGGGAACTTCTAAGGCAAATCTGTAGCTGGATCTGCTAAAATAATGTGATTCGTATCTGCATTCAGCATAGTACCGTTTATATTCTCTACCCATGTCATCGGTTGTGCACAGTAAACGACATGTTTAATTACCTTCATTCTCATCTGTTCTTGGATTTTTTAAAATAAATATATTCTATTCACAAGTTCTGATGAACAAAGCGATACCTTTTACAACTTGGTAGGATATAAGTATCAACAGAGATGGATTATGGTTGTTGTGTGAGTGAGTTTAGTTTTACGCTGCACTATTCCAGCTATATGGTCTGTAAATGATCGGATCTGGGCCAGACAATCCAATGATCAACAGCATGAGCATTGATCTACGCATTTGGGATACGATGACATGTGTCAACCAAGTCAGAGAGCCTGACCACCCGATCCCGTTAGTCGCCTCTTACGACATACATGGGTTGCTGAAGATCAATTCTAACCCGGATCTTCAAGGGTATTATGGTTGTTGAAGAGCCGTAAAATTATTGTCCTCCTGAGAGGGTACGTAAATCCCATTTCATTTGAAGTATTTTTATATTTACCATCGGTTTAATAGTAGGATATCTGTTTTTCATGTTCAGCTATGTTTCTCAATAATCATCGCCTGACGATATGGTGTATATCCAGCTAGGGTCCATGCAGGAAGCAAGAGTAGTGTAAGTGTCCTTGGTCCCTAGTATGGTGATCTACTTTCAGTTGCTGGCGATCTGTAGCCCTCTGTTATGTTGCATTTGATTTTTGTAGTGATACATAATAACATAACCTGCTAGTTTAAAACGACAGCTATTAGTGAGTGAGTTTTGTTTTACACCGCTTGTAGTAATATTCCGGCAATATCACGGCGTGGGACACCAGAAATACGCTTCACAAATTGTACCCATAGGGGAAATCGAACCTGGGCCTTCAGCATGAGGAGCGAACGCTTTCACCACTAGGCTTCCCCACCGTCCCGGATTTTAGTCACTCAATATATATCACTTTGACAGTAACAAAAAACATATTTAATTAAAAAGGAGCTCAAGTTCAGGAAATCAAGATATGCTTCTTTTTTTACACAGAATGATATTCTACCAAGCTTCAACTCTCCAAACAGACACACTATCTAGCACATCACAACGGTGATCCTATTTTTGCCACAGTGATATCATGTTCGTTGAATGTGTAGAAAGAGACTGACATTGAAAATTAACTCACTCACAAAACAAGAAATTGGCTGTCATGTGAGAACAATATATATAACCTCATATTCGTTTGGCTTGATACATCTGATTCCACAAATCATGATGATGAAGACGGTCCTAGTGCTAATATGTATTATTAAGTTGGGGCGGTGGGGTGGCCTAGTGGTTAAAGCATTCGCTCGTCACGCCGAAGACCCGGGTTCGATTCCCTATACGAGTACAATTTGTGAAGCCATATGGGGAATCGAACCCGAGACCCCAGCGTGACGGGCGAGCGCTTTAACCACTAGGCTACCCCACAACATCTATGATACTCTGGTGTTTTTACTGTGCTTTGTCTACAGGTTTTTACGGTGTAGATTTATTTTGGTGAAATATAGATTGTTCTCGTCAGAGAACTGCAATATCGCCGATGTGACGTTAAATATCAACCCACTGACTGTACCACAGCATTTTCATACGTGTACACTGAAATAACAATGGAGGATATTTTCAGTTTTAACATTGAAGAAATTACATGAAGAAGAAGTTACGATCT